GGGGGGGGGGGGCTACGGTGGGAGGAGCTACAGCTTGAACGTGGAACTTCAGGGCTGATGTGATGGTGTTAAGAGACACCAGGTCTTAAGGGGCCCTCCCCTGTGAGTGGGGAGGGAGACCAAGGGCCTCAAAGGAGGCTTCACAGAGCGATGGCTTCACATGACATTCAGCCCTCTGGTGTAGGCAGCAACAAGGCGCCATCTTGAGAGCAGAGAGTGGCCCTGACCAGACCCTGAACCTGCTGCTGCCTCGACTTAACTTCCCAGCCTCCAGAACTTGAGAGGTTTTGTTCTTTATAAATTTCCCTGTCTCAGGCATTTTGTCATAGCAACCCAAACAGACTAAATAGATGAGAAGCTGGGCCAGGGGTAAATAGCCTTCAATGTCCGACTCAGGATCCTTGAGTCTGCTCAAGGTGAGGTGGGGAGGCTTTGGGGGTCCCAGAGGCGGGCCTGAGTTGGTTTGAAGAGGTCCAGGAACAGAAAGAGAAGGGCAGGATATGGGAGATGGGAGGCGAATCAACATTGAATTGGGCAGGAGAGCAGTGGCCAGCTGGGCAGGTGGCTGGTCACCTGAGAACATGGAGACTTGGTGGATGGACAGCTTTGCCTGGCGGTGGGGAGAGGAGGGTTAGCGGCTGTGGTTAGACGAGCCAAGTAAGATGAGGCTACAGAGGAGGGTGGAGGGTGGAGGTCTAGGGTTGGCTCTGTAAAGGACTACTGCAGGTGGAGCTGTCAGACCTGAGGTCAGCGCCGCAGAGACGCAGAGAGAGGCAGGAGATGCTGGGAACTGGACCGCGTCCCCAGGCTGCTCACCCCCGTGCGCCACATTGCGCTTTGACTTCTGCTCCAGGCTCCTGAGCTCCTCTCCCTCACAGTGGCTGTGCCAGCCCAGCCACTGCCCCTCCCTGTAGTGTCCTCCAGCCCGTCCCCACAGCCACCACAGCATCCGCCTCAAATATCAGCTCACACCCCTGCATGTCCCCTTGCCTTTGGCGGCCCCCTGGCAGAAGCAGACAGGAGAGTGCCCATTGCCCACCTGCAGCCTGACTCATCTGCACGTGGACACCCCGAGGCTCCCCCTGAGCCAGGCGTAGGCAGTTTCTTCCTGATCGGAGACTAAGCCTCCACTTGTGACTGGTCACACCGTGCTGCCCGTTGT